TGGCCCCTCTACTCACCCCTGGGGAGGCTGCACCTGGAGTGCTGTGTCCAGTTCTGGGCTCCCCAGTAAAAGAGATACATGGAGCTCCCGGAGCAGGTCCAGCAGAGAGCTACAAAGATGACTGCGGGACTGGAGTATCTCTCTTAGGAAGAAAGGCTGAGGGGGCCTTATCAACGTCTGTAAGTATATGAAAGGAGTGTGTCAAGAAGATGGAGCCAGGCTCTTTTTGGTGGTGCCAAGCAATAGGACAAGAGGTAATGTGCAGAAAATGCTTCTTTACTGTACAAGTGACTGTGCACTAGAACAGTTTGCCCAATATTTTTAGAAGTCTTCATTAATGATAATGGGACAGAGTGCACCTTTAACAAGCTTGCTGATGGTTAAAAACTGAGAGGAGCATCTGATGTACCAGATGGGTGGGTTGCCATTCAGAGGGACCTGGATTGACTGGAGAAGTTGGATAACAGGAGTCCCCTGAAGTTCAGTGAAGGGAAGTGCAAAAGTCCCACAGCTGGGAAGCAATAACCCTAGACAGCAGTCTGGGCTGGGGTTAAGCATCTGGACAGCATCTTTGTGAAGAAGGACCTGGAATCCCGGTGGGTACTACTTGAAACATAAGCCAGCAGTGTATATAAATACCTATGAGATCAGGGAATAAAAAAAGACAGAGACAGAGACTCTTCTCATGGTGTCCAGTGAGAGGACAAGACAAAACACCCAGAAACTGAAATACAGGAAGTTGGACTGAAATATAAGAAAAACTTCTTTACTCTTCTTTATTCTAAGGCTGGTCAAACTGTAGAATGAGTTGCCAACAAAAGGTTGTGAAGATACTCAAAACTCAGCTGAAAAAGATACACAGCATTGTGCTCAGGATAACTCCACTCTGACCTGTAGGGGTGATCTTGTCAATCTTCAGATGCCTCAAACATTCTTTGATACAGTAGTATTGTGGTTGCCAAACTCTTGCATATCTTTCTCAACATTTTTGTTTCATGCCATATTCCTTTTTTTCTCCTTCAGAGTTTACCCTGACTTACCACAGCATTTCTAATTTCTTTCTCTCTCCAGCCTTCACTTTTATTCCCAAGACCATGCCAGAATATTGTTCTCTCCCACTCCAAGTACTCTCTATTTCAGAATTATCCCAGTTGGACTGAAATTGGTATTTCAGGAACAAGTTTCATCTGTTGACTAGAAATATCTTATCACTTCTTAGATAAAAAAAAAGGGAAAAAAAAAAAAAAGATTGTAAAGAGGTAGTGAAACTAAATTTTTTTCCACAGAAGAATTTTCATGTCTCAGTGAAGAAAAAATAAGAGAACTTATGCTTTCCTCCATGCTGTTACCCACACATACATTCAGTATCTGAGAAGAAAACAAATCTCTTCCTTTTTCTTCTCATCTACACCTCAGTGTTTTCATTTCTTGTGATGCCTTTATTATTTGAACATGTTTATGTTACCACTCCTTTAAAACACCTGACTGTTACATTTACAGTGCCTGTCTCCCTAAGCTGTCTTTCATCTTATGTAGAACTGTAAGCTTTTCAGGATGGGTGCCAATATTTGGTTCTCTGACACCACAGGGACCTCTTAGCTGTTAAGACTGTACTAGTGATAGATGATCTTGTCTGTCTGTGCCTTGGCCCAGATACACACTATTTCTGCTCATAACATTTTTCTCTGTTTTTAAGAGCTGTTCATTGCATTTAAGTACAAAGGATTTAAGACATAGTGTGTAACATTCAAAAGCAACAATAAAGGCATATACGCATGTGTGTTAATATATAACAAAAATAAAAATATTAATTTTCATTGTCACCCCTTGGAAAATCAAGAAATACTGAAATCTGGCTTGTATGATACCATAAAGTAGATTTTGCCTTGGAATGGTCCGGTTTTCTGTCCTAAGTGACTGCAAGTATAACACAAAAAATGGTAAATACAGATAAAAGAAAGATGTTAAATGATAGAACTGATAACAAAGTTCCCACATTTTGAGAATGGCATGGCCCATTGTTTCTGGTCACTGTGGCTGTCAACATAACTATTCACGATATTTTATTCCCCCAAAGATTTTTCAAGTTCAAGCCTTCTAATAATACTAAAAGTTTGTTTAAAGGGAAACACAATAAATTAGCAACTTTCACAGAATGAGCAAAATGGCCTCATATTTTATGTTTTCTCCTTAACACACAATTTAAACACCAGGAATCACGTATGAGAGGTTTTAAGGAATTTGCTTACATTGTGAGCTGCACAATGCCAATAACACATGCTGGCGCCACATATAACCAAACACTTCCAGAATAAGCAACATAACAAATTGCTGCTTTAGCTCTTGAATCAGTTTGTATACTGTGTGATCTTTTTCATAATCCTCATTGCATAGCACTGCAGATTTCCTGATGACATTTTGTTTACTGGAGCTGCTAAGGGTACACGGAACCAGTGTACCCTGTGCTGGCCAATGTGCTGTGACTGACATGCAATTCGCCATTTAACCACTGCTGCAGATGATATAGAAGAGGTGATATGAACATGACCCTATCCTCAGTGTATTTAGGTTCAAGTATTAATCTTCAGCAGACAGCTTAAAAATACCGTAGAAAAATCTTTTGTTCCAAATGATCACAAGTACATGGCCTTAGTAACAAAACTTATTTCTAGTTATGAAGGATTAATTAATGAATTATATTCATTAGTACAACTACTGCCTAAGAACTGCATAGTACTATCAGACTATTTGACTTTCACAGTAATCATTTAAATATGTGCAAACTCACAATACAGTATATTCTGAGGTTATTCTGGTTTTCTGAAATAATTTTGCCCTTAAAATTTTTATCAAGCAAATATAAGATATAAAAACAACTGGAAAGAAAAGAAAATTCAATTTATGAAATTTTTAACTTGTCATAGTAGACAGAAAAATTTCATCCTTTTGGTTACCCAATTATTTTTTTTTTCATGTGTATAAATATACATGTTTGACAAAGGATAATTTACACCAAGGGTGTTATTCTGTTGCCAGTCACGTCAATGCTGACCTGTAATAACTGCATCTGGGTAGAACTTGTCGCCTTCCTTTGAATACCACTGATTGAATAGGGTTTTTGCCAATAGTTGAATCAGGGTCTCAATATTTTAAGAAATTTGTCAATTAACCTCAATATTTGTCTTTTAAAATACCATAAAGGTCAGTGTTTCTTAAATAGAATACATATATTTATACATGTACATATATTTATACATGTACATACACGTATGTATACACACATTCTATGAAATTAATCTAGAAAGTTAGAAACAATGTGTAAAGCTGAGAAAACTCCTGCATAGGCCATTACTTGTGTGTGCAACTAGATTTCTGATATTTTCTTACTTATGCCAATATAAAAACTGATTTGTACTATTGACCTTGGATATAAGACAGTTCATATATCTTGTCAGGGATCTAATTCAAAGCTTGATGGAAAGACAGACTGGTTTTAAGGCACCTTGGAAAATCCTTCAAACTTACACAGCATAAGATAAAAGCTTTTGAATAATACATTTTAAAGCTTTAAAAGATCTCTCTTTTCTTCAGTTATTTTCTTCAACCACTAGACCGTATTGGAAAAAAATTATTCACTCTTTTCACAAAACATCCTCCTTCCTGTTCTGAATATGCCAACAAGTAACAGCAGGAAAAACTTTGAAAGGTACTTGTATGTTTAGAAACACATATTTTCACAAATAATGTTTGACATTGTTCCTATTCTCCCACGCTTTGTTTCTTTCATGATATAAAAGTTCTCAAAATGTGTCCTTTTTTTTTTTAACAAACACAAAAATAATGTAGCAAATGTTTTCTAAAGTCATCGCATTATAATTAGGTTATAAATCTCCATAAAACACATGCTGTCTATAATAAAGGGTATAACAAAGATATATAGAGAGAGAGATTGACAAAAAGATATCTGTCTATAACAAATATAGTGAAGATGTATCTTAAGAAAGGTACCACACATGTCTGCAAGGTACTTTTCTGTTATATTATTTGGTTAGCGCATATCCATTTACAATGCTTAACTTACTGCATCAGGACTGGTTCCAAATGAGCAGTTTTCAGCATCAGTAGGTAGGTCTCTGATGTTTCAGAGCTTTAGCTTTTTTTTGGTATGCTTATTTTTGTCTTGTTTGGAGAGGCGGGGTTGGTTAGGACTAAATATGGAAACTGTATCCCTTTATACACAAGAGCAGTCACACCTTGTGAGACACTAGACTACACCTCAGTGATCTTCCAACCTTCCACTGATATTTCCAGCAATAGCTACATAATTCAAATGCAATCTTAACCAAATCCTGTTGACTTTACAAATACTCACATAGATTTTATTTGCAAAGAAGTAACTTTTACCCATACAATAATTTAAAAGCTATTATTTCAGTCTGAAGACTCATTTAAGCAGAATAATTGGCATCAATAGCACTTACCTGATTGTGTAGAATAGAGGTTATACAGCTCTTTCCAATTAAAAACCATGCAATATCCATTTTAAAACAATAATGTAATGTTTGAAATTTATGAAAATTAGGTTTTTACTGAAAATGCTTTTTAAGAGGCTTTAGACACAAATAGTGAAATTTATTACATTGGGGTTAAAAGTAATGTACTATATATAATAATTTATAGAGAGATACCGCATACAGACCAGGAAGTTTAGATCAGTTGATATGTTAATCAAGTCATGAGTATTGCATTCCATCGTAAAAGAATGTCAAGCCTCTTTTCACTAAGAGAAATTGGCTACATGACTGTCAAACTCTCACCAGCCTACTGAAAGGACTAAAAGAAATCAATATCACACAGAAAGATGGATCGAGCATGAATAAATGTGGCAAGCACGTAAACAAACAGACATGGAATTAAACAAGAAAAAAAACCCAAACCAAACTAAACACAGAGCAAACCAAAACCAAAACAAATGGAACCAACAAAGATTGTCGCTTAACCTGTTTTGTCAGAGCTGGTATTGATGGTATTGGTAGTGATGGAAGTGAAGGTAGTCTTTGCGCTGTCCTTGGTAGTAACAGATTTCTGCTTATTTTTCATGGCTTCCAGTGCTTTGAGCTTCTTGGCATGTTTAGTGCCTTTGTAGTGGGCCGCAGCCTGGCTCTACAAAGGAGAACAAAATGAACCATGCAATCAGGCTCATTTCTAAACTGGCATTCTCTGTATTAGTACAAATACAGACTACCTTTCAATAATGGGTACCATTCACATTATCCAAGTAGTGACCAAACAGGATATTATATTTAGAATGATGCTTGGAAAACAATGGAAAAAGTACTCAAGCAACCCAAATTTAATAAATACAGTATATTACTGTATAACGGTATATTACTTTCAGACCAAAATTAGGTTGGTTTAGTCTACCTTGCTACCATTAGTTTTTCTATTAAGACTTATGTTGCTTTCACACGAAAAAAATAATTCTCAGGCAACAGGGAGGGTGGCACTCTCCTCCCATCAGCTTTGTACTTTTCCAGTTCCTATTTCAAACTAGAGATTTTGTCAAAGCTTCCTTCAAAGAACAGTTTAACAGTGGTATCAGGAACTTCTCAGCAAATATTGACAATAAAAAACAAACCAAAAACACCCCAACCCAAAACCAGCCCAAACGAAAGAAAGGAAAATATAAAACACACCCTTCAAAGCCCATCACCAAAGACTTAATTGAATGTGAGGCAGACATGCAATTAGCTGACTTTCCTAAAAAAAAAGAGGATTACTTTTGTTCATCTGCTACAGAAGGTAGTGTTTGAAATTCAAAGCCAGGAGCATCCTTTCAAAGGAGAAAGCTCACACAAATCCTGTCACAGTCCCAAATATATTTTGGCTATTTCATATTGTTAAGCTAAAATAGATTTGTATGTGCATTACTATTAAGATTTATGCATTACACTGTATGTTTTTTCATTATTTCAAGAGCTATAACCAAATTCCTTCATTTAATTTATGTGCAAGTATATTATAAGAATAGTATTTGAACTATAAGATTAAACTTTACAAAAGAAACACTGGAATTAATATGAATATTCAGAGTTTATTTCTTCACTAATTATTTAAGTTTTATAAGAAAGATAGTCTTTCAGTTGATGTTAACAAACTGAAAAATTGCCTATAGTTTTGTTGCTGATCTTCAAACTTTATTGAAAGTATCTCCTTTATTACTTGAAAGAGAAGACTAGAAATATAATAAAAATTTAACTACTACAGAATTGAACAAATGAAAAGCAACTATTCTGGGTCAGCTCAAGGACCCACAAAGGTCAGTATTTTCTTTTGGGCATGAAACAATAGAAGATACTTAGAACACAAAAGAAAGGTAAAAGTTTTCTATTGTGGAATCAGAAGAATCAAAATGGAATATTCCAACATATATGGAATTTAGTGGCTATACACCCAGAGTATCAAAGGGATAAGAAGACAGTCATTTGAATCACTAAGTTACTCATGCAGGTAGAAGAATCCTGCATTATCTGGAATCTATTAGTCATTAGACCTTTATTTAATACTATTTGATCTGCTGAATTTTGGGGAGAGAAGTTCTAGTGAATATCACTGTAAGAGAGTATATTATTCCTGAGACTTATGACTTTCAGCTTACATGAAAAGTCTTGATTCCTTCCAGATGCCTGAGATTTGAGAAGCGTGAGGTGGGTAGGAAAGAAGTGAGAGATCTTGTTTAAACCAATAAACACATACATGTGTATGTGTATGCATATATAGATACACACACACACATACGCTCTTGAATATTGAGATGCATCATTCAGTTTGGTTGAAAAGCCAGTTTCTCTATACCTAAAATAATGTAAATATTGTAATAGGTACCCTTATTGAAAGAACACTGGACAGTGAAGTTTTTAGTTAGAAACAACTTGAACAGAAACAGCACAATCATGCACCTTTTACAACTCTCAACACATAACATTGAGACATATTGTAAGCCAAATACAAACAGTCAAGGAATGTTAATTATAATCAAACCGAAAGACCAGTGTTAAATTATGATGACACATTAAAAATGACATTTTACTGTACAGCCTTGTGTTGCTATCATGTCAACTATTTTTACAGTTTCTAGCCAAATTTAATCACCAGTCAGCTTCAGATTCTGATTGAACTTGTTTTCCCTGACTAACAATGTCACTCATCAAACATCAGAAATGTAGTCAGAACATGGTCCTTAATACCAAATTATAAATGTCGATATTATTTGATACACAGCTCAACTTTATTCACAGAATTGTTGGCAGAGAACCCCAGGTTTAAGACTCCTACATCCATAGGTCTCTCCAAATTCTCACAGTTATAGCTCCACAAACCTCATCTCAAGTTGCATATTGGATTCACAAGGAATATACAATGACAGCCCATGTAGAAATCAGTGATCTTTTCAGTGCTCTGAAATATATGAATGAAATTGCTCTAAAGTAGAAACACATTGCTCAAATTTACAAGTACGATGGTTGTTCCTTAGAGTTGTCCATAACTCACTTCCCACAGAGTGCTTCCAGTTTACCCAGCTTCTACTTAAATAAGATCTTCATGACTTTTTTATTTCAAAGTTTAAATCTCCTTCCGCTGTGGGGACACAAAGCCATCTGAGCTTGTTTCAATAGAACTGTAGCTGGCATGTTAATGGGAGTTCTATGTGAGAGCAAACAGACTGCTCCTAAGCATTTAACCAGCTCCAAATTAGCTTATGCTGAACTTTTAAAACCTAACTGGAACCCTAATTAAAAAAAAAAAAGTACAAGAAAAAAAAAAAGAAAGAAAGAAAAGTCTGTCATTATCTTTCCTTGCATGAGTAAGATGTAGGAAATGGGAAAATATCCATAAATATCTTTTTCAGCACAGCAACACAAAATATGGTACCTCAATGAATCATTCCTTGCAGCTGTAACAGGACTAAAATAATCTCCCTGCTTAAATGGCTTTTACTTGTAGCCTCATTCCTTAAATGGTATTTACTTGTAGGTTGAATACAAAAATAAGATAGATCATAAAATGGAATTATTCCCAACTTTCGTGCAGAATTAAGAAATACTAAGAGAGAGCAGAAGAGTCAAAGACAAGTTAGTCCCAGTTTTTGGTGCCAAACATGATGCTTAACTGAATGAAGAGACTGTACTCCATCAGAAAGCTGACAAGGAGTCTCCTTCTGGAACTCCTCAGACTTCAACAGTTGCAAAAACCGAACAGATAATACATATATGTTTTCAAATTACCTTAAGCAGTTGTGCTCAAATGAGATATGAGCAGAGGTTACAGGTGAAACCTTACATCTAGAGAAGCCAATGGGAAACAAGGGAGGATTTCCCTTTCCATGTTTTGTAAAGGGGTACTTTTATAATTGCTCACCTTTGTGGAAACCAGTTTCCCTTGAGAAAAAACTGATCTAAAATTCCCTCATTGTTAAGAAAAATATTTCCTATTAAGTTAGAACACTTCATAATCATAGTCAATCAGCTATACCAAAAACCCTCTAATATTAAATTCTGTTTCTTTTTATTATTACAAAAGAATACATTAGAAGAATACCTTAAGAAAGAGTTTACTTTCTTCCTTCATCATAGTTTCCACATTTGATACACAGAATTAACCCTAGCACTGTGAAGACAAGTCACCGTCAGCTAATGTGTAACCCAGTCGGTGATGAAGCATGAGAAATATGTCAAATATTGCTGTTGCAAAATTATAGTGAACTTACATCCATTCTTGAAGAAGATGTCTAACATGAAAGTAAAAAGTAGATTATTACTTTCTATCTGAAGCTGAAAACTCAAGGATCCTTTACTAAATTTTGAGGGCTCTGATCCTGCAAATTACGTGTAGACAAACTTTGGTCTGTGGGAACTACTTCAATGAAATAGAAAAATGTCTAAATAGCAAGTCACTTTTCAATGTTATTTTTTAATGACTTCTTGCCTATTTGAGCAGTACAAGCTAATTTAAGCATCTCTTTTGTAAAACAAATCTCTTCCTCTTGTTCCAGGCATCTGTGTTGAATAATTAGGGACCTTTCTAATTCATATCTTTTGTGGCCTTCACAAGTTGCTAGAATATAAAAAAAAGTTATTTGTCTATATAAACATTTGTTATATATACATATGTGTATGTGTGTGTGTGTGTTGTAAGTACACAGACATAAACATATCATAACAGAATGAAAAGTTCTATATGCAGTTGTGAGTAGTTAGAAAATACAATCATAGTGTAAAAACCCAGCTGTATTTTCTTTGCAGAAATGCAATATTGTACCACAATCACCATAAGGACATCATATTAGCAAGCAAATTGCAATGTGTAAAATACACTGAGAAAGATGAAATATTTTAAACAATCCAGACAGTATTCTCTTACAATTACAGTCAAGATATCTACATGGAAGTCTTCAAAATAAGTTTGTCTGCCTGACTCGGTGAATCATGTCTTCTCACTTATGTTCTTTAGGCATTGGTCCAACAAAAACATTCTACTTAATTTTGTTCATTGAGACAAAAAACAGGTCTCCTCTTATTCTTAGAGAGTTTTCAACTTAGCAGCACTGCATCTTCTACCCTTTTTATATCCCTCCTGGTCCACCTCACATTGTCACTCTTCTTACAGATTTTTTTCCTGCCTTAATCATTCTCCCTAGGCAACGCCTTCATAATTAAAGTCAGTTCAAAGAAAAGAAATTTTTTTTCAAAAGATGTGGTGAATATGTTCCACTGATTCTTCCTCTAGAAAATTAAATCCAACTATCTTGTATTATGACTTTCTCATTTTACAGTGCATTTTGAAAGATGTCCATTGCGGAGAGCGCTCTGCTCCATGCTTTCATCTGGCCAATTAGTAGCAAGGCTGCAGTCTGTCTGCACCCTTAGAAGACACCAAACAAGGGCTGAGAGTGCTGAAAAGTCATTTTTGTCTGTCTGAGACTTGAGAAGATCATATCATGTCTTTCTTTCATCAGCAACTAGATGCTACCACCCCCTCTGCTGTTATTCCCTCTATGACAGTAGTAATTTTGGCTACTACATCGGCAGCTGATGTCAGGATTCTCCACAATAAAAAGCTCTGAAACCAAAAAATTTAGATTCCTGTTCAAATTAATACTGTCA